GTCCATCAAATAAGAACACGTTGCAAGGCAATATATCTCCATGGAAAACGATTCCTCCATGGAGATTTATTGCCTTGCAACGTGTTCCTACTTGACGGACAAGCAAAGCTAGGTAATTTTGGACGTGATGAGTATTGAGTAAGTAACAAGCGCATTAGTGTATGACGTTAGCTGATTCTGAATTAATGTATGTGGTAACTAATTTTAAAATCATTGATTTGCAACTCAATGCTTTGATGCTGAGGGTGAGATAAAAGACTTGAAAGGTGCTGAAAAAATATTATCGGAGATGGTGAGAGTAATAGAGTTGAAGTCAAAGAAACAGTTGAAAAGAACAACCAAACCAATCATTGGGGGCATATCGAACGAGAACTCATCCATCACAGCATCAAAGATATTGGAAAAGATGCATGTGGCTTAGCAAATTTGAACACAAAGCAAAGAGCTACAATAGATTTAAGGTCCTCTCACACCTCTTCTTAAACTCCAACTTCTACTTCTTCCTCAAATTGTCTAACTACTACTCGTATTATTAGCTGATCATTTTTCAATGTTTATGTTATTGAATTCTTCAATGTATATTTCAAACCTGTTATGGAAAACTAATTAAATATTGATTTCTTCAATGTTTTTTTTGATTTGTTGACAAATTAGATCTCATTTCAGTCGGACGTTTAAGTTCTAAGACTAAGTGAATGTAAATACCATATGATCCCTTTGCGAAAATTCATTAGATTAAGGATATACTAGCCTTCAATTCTATAGTCTATCAAAAAGAGATGAAAGAAATACATTATTTACAAGTTTTGGTGGAAATATTTGTTAGACTACCAAAAAAGGCAATGGTGGCATGTTGAAGACGAACAAGATCTATTCAATCTGTGAATTGATTTCTCCTTGTACATAAAAGCTACAAAAGTTGGCTCATAGCCATTGTCATCACAATGTGGCAAGTAGCCCTACATTGCCTTCTTACAAGAAAAAGAAACAAACACCAAACACAAGAAAAAACCTGAAAGATCTGTCCCATAATTATTTCACCAAGTAAACAATAACATAACCCATCCACAGACCACAGATTTATAAAGACTACATGCACAAGTGGCGGAACAAATTATAGCTTACCAAAGTAACACCATGAAATTGGACAGAAACTTTACACACTAGTCCAACAAAGACAAAAGGCAATGAACAAAATATAACAATCCTACGTCTAGGAGTGAAAATGTACCTGCTGCAGCAATAGCAGGACCAGCTAACATTGCAGAAGCAGGAAGAGCCATGTCAAAACCGCTAATCCTTTTGCCGCAGGAGATTAATGTTAGGATACCAAGAACAAACATAATATACAAGTGACAACTTAAAACCCTAAGGCTAAAAACTACATTCTGCGAATTACTTATAAAAAAAGTTATTATAGCAACCCTATAGAAATAAAATCTGCTCTTATCCCAGACAAACTCCATGAAACTTATACAAGAAATCTCTACTACATATAACTTGATAGTTCTCTACTTCACGACATAAAATGGTTTCTGTAGACCATACATCTGTATAATACATACAAAACTAATAGAAAAGGGGAACGAATAAGATGGAAAAATTATATCTGCTAAATTTTCCATCTTATTGCAGACATAAACTACATGAAACTAATACAAAAAATTTCTAATACAAAATTCATTTAACTTGATAGTTCTCTACTTCACTACATAAAATGGTTTCTATAGACCATACATCTGGATAATACATAAGGGAAACAAATATATGAAAGATTTGGTACATAAATGATAAGCTAAGCAAAACATATCCTAAGGAGCACAATATTTAAAAACTACGCCAAACACTATTTGTACAAATTTGATCATGACCTACAAATTTAAACCACTACGGATAATAGATATTTATGTACGCCATCAAAGATCTACCTAGACCTACCTACCTAGATCCAACAACTACACCTCCACACAAAAATATCCAAAGGAGATCTACCTAGATCAAGAATACATACAACAACGGTCCAAAGGTGGGAGATCTAGCCAAAATCAGAACAACAGACTGAGAAGCAGCCCCAAAAAATAAGGGTGAGACACGGAGAAGAAGGGGCAGACAAGGGTCTGGGTTGAGGGAGGGCATAGTTTTTGGGAGAAGAAGAGAAAGAAGCCTCCCTTTGGACGAGTTTTCTATAGGGAGATAAGAAAATTGTCCAACCAATCAAGTCCAGCATTCAAACATCAAACACTTGAACAATCAAAAGAACCAATACCAATAAACAACAAGAAAATTAGAAGAACGAGAAAGCTATGATGAAACCCACATTCTTTGTTTTCTTCCTTTTCTGGGTACTATACAAAATATATCAGTTCCATGAGAAAGGAGGTACCTTTAGCAGGAGCCATTGCGCCATTGCTCTAAGCTCTGTGATAAATAATCCTAACTAACAAGCATTAAGAGAACAGAAAACAAGGATAAACTTAATCCATACCGATAGTAGAAATGGCAGGAATACACACAAAGATCTCAAAAGAATAATCTCACAGAGAGAGAGAGAGAGAGAGAGAGAGAGATATGAAGAGACTTGCGGCTAGGGTTAAGGAAAAAGGAAAGAGAGAGACTCAGAAAAGTGCGAGGGAGAGAGAATATGGTTTTATAGGAGTATTCAACCTTTTGGAGTCCAATCAGGTGCGGAAGGTACACGATAACAATTTCAAATAACCAGTCAAACCTTGCCACATGTAAAATAAATTAAACAAATAAAAAACTGATTTATAATCTGTCCAATTAATGGTGTTAATTTCTTGGTGCTTTATCCAGCATGGAGGAGATGACATGTCCTATTTCGGGATGCATGATATGGAGTCCTATCCTTAATAATGAGAGCGAATCAATGGTGAGCCCAAGCCCCTGCTTGGGTGGGGGAGGGGAGCTTCTACAATGAGTTAAAGTGAGGAGGTTATTTGAGGAGACCGTTCCGACCGTCAAAACATTTAAAATATTTAAGTCCCATGATTTCTTTACATTTGTTGATGGTGAGATTTGACCTCCTCAAATAACCTCCTCACTTTAAGCCCCTATTATAGCCTTTCCGGGTGGGAGAGAGGGAGGGAGAGGGGGCGGAGCCCAAAACGTGGTTCCAGTGGGCTTTTTTTTGCCCAAAATGCGGTTCTAGTGGGCCTCTTTTGCCCGGGCAGCTTGTAGGTCTCACAGAACCGGGCTGGCCCGAAGACTAAACGAGCCTGAGGTAGTGGTGGATTCAGGATTCTCGAGCCAATATGTCACAATGTAGAAGTTTCAAAAAATTTCTACGAAGAAAATAACACTAAGATGTCAATAAATAATTTTGTTTTATAGAATCTTTCCATAATTATACACATGAATTAATTCAATCAATGAATAATTTTTATTAAAATTATCATATGAATATGAAAATATCAATTAGTTAACCCACTACCCAATTATCATATAAATCAATATACCAAATTATCAAATAATAAAAACAAAACATTATCAATAAATAAAAGGGTTCGAGATATTGATTTGGGTGAGATATTTATTGATTTGGGAATGAAAAAGGGTTTGGGGGTAGTACTGGAGTCGGTTAAAAGAGGGGAGGGATGATTCTTTAAAAATAAAAATAAAAACCTGCCCCAAAACGATGTAGTTTTGAGGCCAGGTCAGTTAAGAATTTTTTTTTAATAACCTTGGACCAAACGACGTCGTTTGGCCAGGCTTTTTGAAAAAAAATTAGAACGCGCGCGCACAGCAGTTGCTGGCGCTGCGCAGTGCAGTGCTAAGCAAGCCCCTACAGGGAACTTTCATCAAACACCTTGTGTGCACACAAGGGTCGCTCTGTTGCTGTCCAAGGGGTCACTCCTGGAGTCCACAGCCAGATTTCTGAAGTTCCAAGGGGTCGTGCGACCCCTCTTGTCCGAGGAGGAGGTGACGTCAGCACGCACATTCAAATTTTTTTTAACGTTGGTGTGTGAGTCAGCCCTTCCTTTCCGCCAACGGCTAGAAGCCACGTAGGAACCCATCGGAGTTGGATTTGTTTGACTCTCTTTAAACTTTTTGCAGTTCACTCGCCGTGAAATACACTGACTGGACTTGAAATATACTGTTAGTCATTGATGTAAAATACATGCTCAAAACCAAAATTTCAGTGTAATGGTTTTCAAATATGAGGATAAGCACTGACCCTAAAAAAAATTGGAAGAAGGCAATTTTTCCTAAACTATTGAACTTTTGTCAGAAGATATTGGAACCTATACCCTGCTGAAGTGCTCTGTAGAGGATTAGTGGGCATCGATTCATTAAAACAAAGTCTCTTTTGAAGTATGTTTGAAGTATGTTGGTTTTAATTAGTTCTCACTTACATGTTGAAGTATGTTTGTAGTCTCACATATGTCTTAAAATAAGCAGGGGTGCATGATTCCTTCTGGACTCATGCATGTGATGTGGACCAAATTAACGCGATACTTCGGGAAAAATTTGTGGGGCTTTATAGCATGCTGATACTTGAAAATGTAGGTGAACTACGTCCTGTTTCTCTTCCAGAAATTGGGTCTCCTCATAAATTCAGATCTTTCTCTGGCTTGTTTAAAAGCAACTTGGGTGGAATGACTTGTATTTGACACAATGATTTCTCAAGGCTACTTAAGTTTGTTTTGATGTCTCCTCACAAGGTTTCAAGATGAAGTTTAAGAGCTTACGAATGCGTCTTCATTGTAGAAAACTTTTGCATTGAAAGACTGTATTCAGCTTCTCCCTAACTTGTAGAGAACTTGCATTTAGAAAGTTGCTTTACACACATTTTATATGTAGACCTGAATTAAACTATTTGTTTATTTCCATTGATTTCTGGATAGCTCTGCCTCTTCCCCGTTGCTTGAAAGTTTCCAAGCATCATATCCAGCATTGACTTTTCCCATTCCCAGAAAGAGGCGACTTTCACTTGCAACAGGTTCTAGAATCTCCATACTTTTTCAACTGAATTTCCAGTCATGAGCAGCGATGATAACAATATGCACAAAGCTTTGTCACTTGTATCATATGCAACCCCAAATTATCCAAGAAGCTTTGTTAGGAGTACATTTGGATACCCCCAAATTGATCAAAAAGCTTTGTTAAGAGTTCATTTGGATAGGGGCAGCAAGTTGAACAGGGAAACAGAAGCCTAAAAGGTTCTTTTTAGGGTTTAGGGTTCAGGGGGCAGGGATTCTGACCGGGAACGAGATCGAGAAGAGGCTGAGAGGGACAGAACCAAGGACCGAGGTTATCGTTCCAAGGATAGAGCAAAAGATTCAGGTTGGCCCCCCCTCACCCCCAACATTGTCAAAATTGGATTTATGAACTTGCGTCATATCAAATTTTCTCAATCTTCAATTTCTATGTTGAATGCACAATATTTCTGCAGGGGGGCATTTGGAGAAATCAAGACATCAATCGTCCCGAGGTATGCTTATTCAAGAATAGTTCATGTGCTTTTTTTTTTTGTTTCCTGAAATTGTGGGGATGTTCAGTTTAAATTCCGTCATCTGACACTTACCCTTGTTTTACAGATCGCGACTATCACAATTCCTCCTACTCTTCACGGGAAAAGGATCGCCAAGACATCTCTCTTTTTCACCTAAACTTCAACGGAACTGAAAATACTTTGGGCTTTGTATGTTGACAGAAAATGTAAAACTGAGCAACATTGAGACTAGTTAAGGATAAGCACGACTCTTTTAACACGTGAGGTGTTTTTATATAAACTTGTCTGTGCAGGAAATGCTAACAATATAGGAAACAAGTCGTAATTACAATAGGAACTATACAAAAAGGAAAGTAAACACAACTTATAATATAAAAGTGGAAACTAAAATTACCTGCTCACAGAGGGAAAGATCACTATATAAAGTCCCACAACTGAATTCGTTAATCCCATAACTTGCAAAGCTTTCTTTTTGAGATTCTTGCGACGTCAAATCAATCGCTCTCTAGTTTTCGTTGTTAAGTCTTGTGCATTGTCTTCTCTTCAATCTCTCACTCATGGAGAAAACGAAATCATCCCTTCATGCTCACGCTAACGGAGGTCTCACCACTGTTCTTTCTATTGATGGAGGTGGAATAAGAGGGATTATTCCAAGAGTTATGCTTGCATTCCTAGAGTCTAAGCTTCAGGTAAAAAATAAAAACTAGAACTATATTATGAGCAATTTATAATATCAAATTTTGTTCACTAAACAATATTCTTTTATTACAATATGAGCCCGACCTGCATTTTGTCACCAAGTACTCCAAAACTTTATCATACCACATTACCACTGCATGCATGCCGCTATGTAAATATATATTGCGTTTTTTGCAGTTCATTTATTAGTGGTCACTTTTATCGAATGAGTCTGTTAATTTATTAGTGGTCACTTTTATTAGAGACAATGATGAAGAAGGCAAGATTTTCACACAACTATCCGGATCCCCTGGGCTATCAATGAGTAAGGTCTGTTACCAACGTACTAACAAGGAATTTGAGGTTTCACATGACTTTCAGGAAGCAGAAAAGCAGTTGGAATTGGAGTCCAAACGTGGCGGTGAGTGTATATATAGACCAAGTTTAGAGATTATGCACTAATATGAACTAAAAGAAAACTCTAAAGCGCACATCTCCTCTGTTGCAGATGGTTTCATTGCAAGATGAGCAGGTCAGTTCCAAGTTCTTGGTTATCTGCAATTTTGAAGTGTTGTTTCAGATTCTGTCTCATTGAATTTGTGAACAACTCTGTCCAGGTACCTATAGAAGGAGTTATCGATGCTTCTGTATGTCTCGGTGGCTTTTCTTATTGTTCACATTGTTAAGGTAAGTTATTTTACTATGTAGTTTTGTATAACTAAAGAAGCTTTTCTAGGAACTCATCTATTCGCATACTGGACGGCTTTACTTGGCTCTTTTTTTTACTTTTTTTTAATAAATAGTATAGGTGAATACTCGGTTTTTATAATTTTTTAAAAAAAGAAATCGTATAGCCGCGCGGTTATACTCGGTTTTTACTAATTTTTTTAAAAGAAAGAGTATAGCCGGTCGGCTATACTCGGTCGTTTCATTTTTTTTAAGACATAGTATAGCCAGGGGGCGATATTTTTTAATTTTCTTTAAATAGTCTAGCCGCGCGGCTATACTCGGCTGCCTCTAATTTTTTTTAAATAGTATAGCCGGGCGGCGATACTTTTTTTATATTTTCGGCTATACTTTTTATATATTTTTTTCAAAAAAGAAATCGTATAGTCCCGCAGGTATACTCGGTTTTTTCAATCACTAATCTGAGAAGAAGATTTCATGATCTTTCCTCTCTTGGCAAATTCCAAAACAGCTCCATGAAATGAGCTAAACCTAGAAGGAGGTACAGAAGCTTTGAGCATAGGCAGTATCGCTGCAATCCAAGCTGTTCTGAGCAACCCAACAAGACCCATCTCCATTTTAGCAAAAACCCAGATCAGAACAGAGTTGAAAAAGGCTAGTCTCTACACCCTGCTGAAGTGCTCTGTACTTAGAGGATTAGAGGGCATAGATTCCTCGAAACATGGTCTCTTTTGAAGTATGTTGGTTTTAGTTCTCACTTACATATTGAAGTATGTTTGAAGTCTCATATCCAGCATTGACTTTTCCTCCACTCCCAGAAAGAGGCGACTTTGACTTGCAACAGGTTCTAGAATCTCCATACTTTTTCAACTGAATTTCCAGTCATGAGCAGCGATGATAACAATATGCGGAAAGCATCGTCACTTGTATCATATTACAAGGCTGCCACCTCTCGCACAAGTTGGGTGAACGTGAAACCCACAAACACCATGGTACTCCTGCGAAATGTCATATGCCATGCTTTCTTCTAGGATACCAGGATCAATCTTATTATGTTTCAGATTATGTCACTTCTCATGTGTGTCTGTGCAGAAACAGATTAACATTTGCCTCAGTTGTATCTCCAATGAGGTTATAGCTACTACACAAAGATATCAAATTCAAAAGTCAACCTTAATTGCAAATATAGGTGCAATCTGTTGCTTCATGTATATGCGCTAGTAGTACAAAATGCAAAAGTTTAATCTAAATTATATATTAAACAAATAGTATAATATCTTCTTGATTTAAAATATACTTATTAATGGTTACTTCAATGATTTCATAATGCAAAATTCATTTAATGTTGTATTTTTTGAAGCCCAGGCCCTTTTCTAAACCCTAAACATAACACGCAACCTCTCTTCTTCTTCAATCTCATCGTCGTCTCTCTCTCTCTCTCTCGCCTCATACAGTGTTTTCAAAGGCATGCCTTTGCGCGCGTCGAAGCGAGGCGGGAGCAAAACGCCCGAGGTGGTCGGCTGTTTTGCGGGTTGCACGTTTAGCGCTAGGAAGGCTGGAGAAGGCATTGCAAGGCGTGGCCAGGCGGAGCAAGGCCTACCAGATCTGAAAACTTCTGAACCGGAAGAAATTTGAGTCTGCAAATTTTCTGCGAGGAAGACGACCTCGCGAAGAAGACGACTTTATTTTTTTTTTTTTTTTTTTTTTTTAATTCGTAAACGAAACGTCGTTTTGATTGCAGTATTTTAAAAACAATCTTACAGTGAAACGACGTCGTTTCACTTGGAGTATGTTGAAAAAATAAAAAACGGAAGTTTCATTTTTTTTTTCCTTACCTTTATTGTAACCTTTAAGGCAAGAATTAATATATTTCTTTCTTTTTTCCTAACTCCAACCGGCTGTAGCTTTAGTACTTACCCTTTTTTTTTCTTTTTTTTTCTTTCTCTAAATTAATATATTAACACATGGACTATATATATATATATATATTGTATAGTACGTGTACAACCCTAATTTATACCTTTACCATATAACTCCATCAATTTCAAGAATTCTCTTCATCTTTCGACTGCAAGTAAGTCTTTTTTTGTTTTTTTGTTTTTTTTTACGTACATGCATCATACTTGTATAATTTGACTGTAATAAACTGTAATTTGAAGTTTCATATAATTTTTTTCAATTTTTATTTATTTTATAAATATACTAGTTATCTTATTCATTTATGTGATATAGTAGAAATTTGATGTACTCATCATGGTATGCAACCATGTAAGAAAGTTCCTGAGCATGTGAAAAAAGAGTGTGCCGCAACTTTGAAAAATCTTCAGCTTGAAAAAAGAAAGAAAAATGAAAATTAGTACTTATGTTTTGGGATTGATTATTATGTTTTGAATGACAATTAGTACTTATATTTGATTATATTTAAAAGATTGTTATGGTTGAATAAGAATTAGTTGTAAAATTTAATCGTATTGTATTATTCATAAATTTTTCTTATTAAAATAACTTAATGTTCAAAAGGCTTACGCCTCGCATAGCGCTGCTAAAAACGCCTCGCCTATACGCCTCGCCTTTGAAAACATTGGCCTCGTAGCACCATCATCATCTCGTCCTAGAACTCGAAGTTCCAAAATGGCCTTTTCTTTCTTCTAGGCGTTAGCGCCCGCCTAGCCCCCTCCTAGCCTGCCTAGGCCATTTATTCAGATGTAAGTGAGTGTGTTCAAGGATTTAACTTTTAAAGAAGATTTTCGAGAATTGGAAAAGAAAGAGATGATGCTTACATTGTTCCTACAACCTTGTGAGTATTTGCTAGACTCTGAATGCCTTAAACAATATGGCCAATCCAAAATCTGAAAGCTTTGGGTTCATGTTCTCATCCAAGAGAATGTTACTGACCTTCAAATCTCTATGTATTACCTTCAAACAAGAATCATGGTGGAGATAAAGAAGCCATCTAGCGACACCCTGAATAATCTTGAAGCGTCGACCCCAATCAAGCACTGCACCTCCCGGCAGTGGAATTTGGAATTCAAAATATAACAGTAATGTCATTAATACATCCCAATCCCGTGCACTTCACAATGAAAAAATTGACCATCACTAGGTAACAAAGAGCAATGAAACTAACTGAATAGAAGAGTATCCAAGCTTCCGTTTGGCATGAACTCGTAAATTAGTAACTTCTCATCATCATGGACGGAGCATGCCATGATTCTCACAAGATTTTTATGTTGGAGTTTGGAAATCAACAGCGTCTCATTCTTGAACTCTTTTATCCCTTGATGACCTCATTCTCTTACCCTTTTGGCTAGATCGCAGTCTGCGCAAGCTGAACACTATGGCAGCCGAGATATTGATAAAACAAATAGCTATGAGGCTGAGCATTAACTTTATTCATTTTCCTTCACCTAAAACAACGAAATTTTAATACAAGAAGTATGAGACAAAAAAGGAAAAATAATGTTGATTCAAGTTGTGTAAGCAATAGAGTTTATCACTTACCTAATTCTGCGTGTGTTAGGTGAATAAAAAGATCTACTCCACCAGTGGATCCTGAGCCTCTACATTTAGGAAATCTTAGCCACTCAAATAGTCGAACCACTTAACATATAACACAACATCAATTTCATGTTTTATGTTTTATTTTCCAGAACTGATGTTAACATTAAGTTAACTTGCTTGAGGTTTTTATTTTTTTATTTTTTTCAACGTGCTTCATAGATCAAGGCTTCAGTCCTTTGGAGATGCAATAACATTCTTGGGTTGTTTAATTATTTATGTTCGTAGTTGATCTTCATATTGAATTAACTAATTCTATTTTATAATTGAGAAAAGCTTGCTCTTTTGCTTTCTCTGATTGTGTTGTGAATATTAGTGTTTCTTGGTGTTTAAGATGCTTTAGTTTGTGAATTTTTGAAGTTCAAAGGTTTGCAGATTGACTTGTGAAGTACGAAATGCACTAATTTAAACACATGGTCAACAGTCAACACCTGGTTGTTTGTAACCATTGAATATTAGAACTCAATCTGATTCCATATCAATATGAATTGGTTTTTCAAAATTTCAAATCCAATTAGATTGACCTTCAATTAGAACCCAACCCAATTTAAATATTGAATTGAATAATCAGTTTCTTGATGGAGAAGGAACACTTCAGAATAACCAAAGGTCATTACATTTTATTTTTGTACAAAGGTCATTACATTTGTAATGCAAAAATTTGATATTGCTTATCGTCCTTCGATCATTGTTATGGTAGCTTCATTTGCTGAGAAAATAATTTCAGACTGTGGTTGGGGATCAGAGACTGAGTTTTGGAAGGTAAATATTGGCTGCTTAGGTTGTCGACGATCTGTCTCGCTACTACATCTAGCATGGTTGGCCTATCTGCAGCATTGTCTTGTACACAAAGAAGCCCAATGCGTACACATCTCATCACTTCTGATGAGGAATATGAATCTGCCAATATTTCATCAACCAACTCCAATCCCCTGCCTTCATTCCATGAGGGCCATGCCTGACAAAATTTCATATATATATGCATTTAGCTTCATATAGATTGTTTAACAATTTATAAGATTTAGAGTGTGAACTTACATAAGCTAGGAAACCTAGATGTTGTTTATAGTAATAGAAGCTGGTATTCTTCCTGCCGCTAATAATCTCCAATATCAAGACCCCGAAGCTATAGACATCAGATTTTTCAGAAAATATCCCACCCATGGCATACTCCGGGGACATATAGCCACTGCAAAGGAATTTCATTCATATTACTATTAACTGACAGTATTTCTTTTGTTTCTGGTCTTAAGAATGGTGCCACCGAATTTATATCTTAATGACATGCAACTAATATTTCAGTTAAGATTGCAGGGTTCCAAATAAAGTGAATGGTACAGCCAGATTTCCTACATGTTATCTCTGATTCTCTGCTGGTTCCGTATAAATTCACTAATATATTGATATGAATGGCAATATGCTGAACATTGATATTTAAGTTTTGATGTTCTTCCAAGAATAGGAAAAGGAATGACGCTTACAATGTTCCCACAACCTTCTGAGTGTTTGTTTTATTCTGTGTCTCTTGAATGATACGTAACAATCCAAAATCTGAAATTTTTGGGTTCATTTGCTCATCCAAGAGAATATTACTGACCCTTCAAAAAGAAAAACATAGTACAGCCGCACGGCTATACTATTTAGATACACTATATTTAAAAGGGCTACACTATTTAATAAATAAATAAAGAAAAAAGGACCCTCCAAGTTGCATTAGTTTGTACTTTATAGATATTAATTTGCTAGTTTAAATATATCCAAAGTAGATATTAATCGGCCACTATACAATATTTTTATATAATTTTTATAACGTATATTATTCTTATTCAATAATATGTGAGAATTATTTGTATAATACGTACAATTTTTGTGTCTTAATGAAATTTTGTAAAAAGTATGTGTATTAAGCATTAGAAATACGTACAAACATGTACAATATGACTATTAAAGTAATTTAAAAAGGATAAGATATTACTAAATTACATATATTAAATTAAGGAAGTTGGCCAAAAGAAAAAGTAAAGAAACTAATTTTATATTTTTAAAATTTTTAAAAAAATGACATGAACAGTTCTCCCGACGAAATTTCGTCGGCATAGATCTATGCCGGCAAAATTTGCCGGATTAGGTTTTCCCCGACGAAAATACCTGTGCCGACGAATTTCGTCGGGAGAGGTCTTATTTTTTAAAAATAAATATAAACTTAGGATGTTTAGGTTAATTAATTTTTAAAAATTTTATTTTTTAGTAACTAGATAATATATTTGCCTGATTTAATTAGTTAAATTAGCAATTATATTTTAATTATTATTTATTTAATGACTAATTATGATTAAATACTTTAATTAACTTCATGAATTATATTACTTAATAAATAGTACTTCAATTTTTCTTTTTCTTTTTTTTCCTTTAATATTCACTAAGTAAATAATCACTAAAGGGTTTAGTTAATTACTAATCAAAGTAATTAAAAAAGTGAAATACATATTATGCTACTTAGAGGGTGTAGCCTACCTTTTCATAAAAATAAGAAGAAGAAAAAAAATTTAAAACTGAGTATAGCCGTGCGGCTATACTATTTTTAAATATAAAAAGGAGGACCCCAACATTTAGGCGCCACGTGTCAATATAAGTCTACTATTAAAAAAAATTAAAATACACAGCGCATAGCCGTGTGGCTGCACGCTTTTTTGTTTTTTTTTAAAAAGGACCCTCTAGCGATTAGGAGCCACATGTCCAAAAAAAGTATAGTTGATTGGCTATACTATTTTTCAAAAAGAAAAACATAGTACAACCACAGCTATACTATTTAGATACACTATATTTAAAAGGGCTACACTATTTAATAAATAAATAAAAGAAAAAAGGACCCTCCAAGTTGCATTAGTTTGTACTTTATAGATATTAATTTGCTAGTTTAAATATATCCAAAGTAGATATTAATCGGCCATTATACAATATTTTAATATAATTTCTGTAACGTATATTATTCTTATTCAATAATATGTGAGAATTATTTGTATAATACTTGAACTTTTTGTGTCTTAATGAAAATTTTGTAAAAAGTATGTGTATTAAGCATTAGAAATATGTACGAACATGTACAATACGACTATTAAAGTAATTCAAAAGTGATAAGATATTACTTAATTACATATATTAAATTAAGGAAGTAGGCCAAAAGAAAAAGTAAAGAAACTAATTTTATATTTTTAAAATTAAAAAATAAAATAAAAATACATGAACACTTCTCCCGACGAAATTTCGTTGGCATAGATCTATGCTTGCAAAATTTGTCAGATTAGGTTTTCCCCGACGAAAATAACTGTGCCGACGAAATTTCGTCGGGAGAGGTCTTATTTTTTAAAAATAAATATAAATTTAGGATGTTTAGGTTAATTAATTTTTAAAATTTTTATTTTTAGTAACTACATAATATATTTGCCTGATTTAATTAGTTAAATTAGCAATTATATTTTAATTATTATTTATTTAATGACTAATTATGATTAAATACTTTAATTAACTTCATGAATTATATTACTTAATAAATAGTAATTCAATTTTTCTTTTTCTTTTTTTCCTTTAATATTCACTAAGTAAATAATCACTAAAGGGTTTAGTTAATTACTAATCAAAGTAATTAAAAAAGTGAAATACATATTATGCTACTTAAAGGGTGTAGCCTACCTTTTCATAAAAATAAGAAGGAAAAAAATAATAATAAAAACTGATTATAGCCGTGCGGCTATTCTATTTTTAAATATAAAAAGGAGGCCCCCAATGTTTAGGCGCCACGTGTCAATACAAGTCTACTTTTAAAAAAAATTAAAAAACACAGAGTATAGCCGTGCGGTGGCACCACGTGTCCAAAAAAAGTATAGCTGACTGGCTATACTATTTTTCAAAAAGAAAAACATAGTACAGCCGCACGGCGATACTATTTAAATACACTATATTTAAAAGGGCTGCACTATTTAATAAATAAATAAAAGAAAAAAGGACCCACCAAGTTACATTAGTTGGTACTTTATAGATATTAATTTGCTAGTTTAAATATATCCAAAGTAGATATTAATCGGCCACTGTACAATATTTTAATATAATTTCTGTAACGTATATTATTCTTATTCAATAATATGTGAGAATTATTTGTATAATATGTGAACTTTGTGTGTCTTAATGAAAATTTTGTAAAAAGTATGTGTATTAAGCATTGGAAATACGTACAAACATGTACAATACAACTATTAAACTAATTCAAAAAGGATAAGATATTACTTAATTACATATATTAAATTAAGGAAGTTGGCCAAAAAAAAATAAACAAACTAATTTTATATTTTTAAAATTTAAAATTTTAAAAAACATGAACACTTCTCCCGATGAAAGTTCGTCGGCATAGATCTATGTCGGCAAAATTTGCCGGATTAGGTTTTCCCCGACGAAAATACCTGTGCCGACGAAATTTCATCGGGAGAGGTCTTATTTTTTAAAAATAAATATAAACTTAGGATGTTTAGGTTAATTAATTTTAAAAAATTTTATTTTTAGTAACTGCATAATATATTTGCCTGATTTAATTAGTTAAATTAGCAATTATATTTTAATTATTATTTATTTAATGACTAATTATGATTAAATACTTTAA